GGTCCTCCTGACTTCAGGGCAGGTGCTCTATCCACTGCACCACCTAGCTGCCCCTGTTTTCACAAATTTTAAGAGAAAGCAATTCAACAAAACAACCTTAAGTTCCACCCTGTTTGACAGTATACATGTACATGTAATATTTCACATCTATAGACCACTCCCCTGCAATGAATGGATACTAAAACTTACACGTAAGATTTGGTCCAACTGTTCTATCTGTTGAGGTGTTTTTAGATAAATTGTGAAAAACTGAATTCCCAAGAAATTGAAGACTATTAACAGTGGTTTATTTGTAACATTCACCATAGACTATATGGTGGTCACACATTGATGATTCCTCCAACTTCCCACCACGGGTCTTTTTTGGAGGCAGGGATTAGAAACTTGTTAGCTCGTTGCAGAAGCTCCCTTTTGTCCAAATTTTTTGCCTGGCAAGTAGACCTTGGAACTATGAAACCTGCGAGAACTAAAGCGCCCTGAAAACGTGTCTGTGCGTGTCAGATGTTCGGTTCCGTTGCGGCCAAGGGACTTGTACCCCTACTCTGGCCCGAAAACATCAATGTGGCGTCGACGTTGTACTAGGATAGGACGCTGGAGAGGAAGTAGGGGAGGTGGGAGCGGGAGTGGGGCGGGGACAAGATCTGGTAAAAGTAAGCATAACTTTCTGCAGCCTTAAACCTTCCCAGCAGCTATCAGCCCTGACTAGATAGTTTACTACAAAGCCTAGGAGGCACCAGACCCGAACGAGGGACTCCGACGCATGCGCGCTAAGTACCAAAGGTGAGGTCAAGGGATGGATTTTATACACCGCAAACCTAGCCAGGGAAAGCATTTAAAGGCCAGCGTGACACCTTCAGCCAATCAGAAGGGAATGTACCAAGGAAACAGCTACAGCTCTTTCTTAACTGTCTCCACCCAACGTAGCCAATCGCTGTGCTGGAAACAGGGTCAGGTGGGTGCTCCTAATACTACGCCCTATATCCGATTTTTCTCCACCTACCTCAGTGACTCAGTAGCCAATGACAAAGTGATGGGCGTCAACAAAGGTTGCAGGTAAGACCCTTTTCCCTGATCTACAGAAGCGTCAACCAATCAATAGGGAAATTGACGGTTGCTAGGCAACAGTCTGGTCTGGCTCCGCCCATAGTTTTGATTTTAGCCAATGAAAGGGTACAGTATGGAAAGTTGCCGCGAGACGGCTCGGGTTGACCCCACCCTAGCTTGGGCTCAGCGCATGCGCAGATTGGGGGAAGGTTCTGGAAGACATCGGAGCTGCCGCCATCTTGCGGGAAGAAGAGCAGCTCCGGCCACGGCGCCGTTTTCTCTGCCGAGACCCTGAGAAAGAGCTGGGCTCAGAGCCCTTTACACACCTCAAGGAACGGAGAAACCCGGGACCCCCCCGCGGGGACCCGGAGCTGGTGAGAGACCCCTGAAGCTGAATAATCTCCCCCCCAACCCCGATCGAGACGTCACCCGCCCGTGACGTTGCCGCGTGGCTCCTCCCCTTGACGTCACAAGCAGACAGTGATGTCGCAAGCAGAACCACGCAAACCTTTTAATTTTTTGTTTGCTATTTTGGTTTGGAAATGGCGTTCTTGACACAGGCATAGGGCATTAGTATAATTTATAGGCATCGGACCCATCATGGCTTTCTCCTTGGTTTGACCGTAGCGTTGCGCCACCCTCTTCCCCTCCCCCCAGGGCCCTGTGACTATGATCTCTTCCCATAACAGAGCCCCGCAGCCATGACACTTTGTTAACTCCTCGTTGCCGTTCTCGGGCGAGGTGGGCACAATCGATGGCCTAGCTGGACCTTCATCATCGACGGCGCTGAAAGAGGGGTGAGGGGACTAAGAGCTCCCCCTTTGTTTTTCTCTGTCCTGGGTTCCCAGCCTCCTCTCCCCACCCCCAAAAGAAAAAAAAAACCGCACAGAATTTACTGTGTTGTAGTGTCGGGTTTTTTTCATCTCCTTTTCTAACCCAACATTCCGGCGATCGGATCCGGAAGGCTCTAGGGCTCAAATGTTGCCAAGAGCAGCAGGGCCATCTCTGGTCGTGCGAGTGTGGAAATCACTGAGGGAGAGCTGAGATGGATGGCTTTGCTGGGGCCACATTTGAACTTGAAATGGGGGAGGGAGGCTCTAACACTAATTTTTTTTTTTTTGTCAATCTTACCGTTCACATTGTTGTTAAGCTCTCTTCTGTATGGATGTGTTTGCCTCAGCAGAGTGACCAGACCCAGAGATTGTTCCCCCCTTTGGTCACCCCTAGGACTCCAGCATGTGTTGGATTCTGAGTGAACTAGGCTGACAGTGATTCTTAAGCACTTTCCTCTGCCCCTTCAACATTGGGGCCTGGCAGCTTGTTTTCGTGCTGCCTGTGACCCAGGCCATCTGGGCAAAATCCCAGCACCCTGGTGGCTTGTGTGGAGCCTTCTTTCTCATATTTTTCTCAAGAGGAGGGGTGTGGGGAAGCCTTCTCTTGTGATCTCTGTGTAGTGGGGTGGGGAAGAGTACTTGGGAAATTTCCAGCCTGACAGTGGGGTAGTATGCAGATTGTAAAACAGTGTTAAGGACAGAAAGAAAGGTACAACTCTGGCACATACCCATTTGGATTGGGAGATTAAACAAAAGTTGTATTTATATTGCAAGAGTGCACACAGATTCACTCAACCATTCCTCTTTTTGGCTGAGAACAAGTGAAAACTTTCACCTTGGCCAAGTGATTGAGGTCCAAAAGATTGTTCATTTAAGGGGAATTTTGTTTTGTTTTTGCAAAATTATCACTATCCTATGCTATGTATGAGCAAAGTGCAGCTCCTGAAGTCAGAAACATTTTGGGGACAAAAACCATAACTAGTAAAACAACAAAGGAGTTTTGTGAAATATGGACCTAGTAGTCAAAATGACTAGTGTTTCAGAAGCAAAAAGTTATTTCTAGTTTTTAGATTTTTGTTTATTTTCTGAGTTCTAACAGTGAGCTGAATAATTTTTATTGGTCAGTGTGGCTCCTACTCTTGAAGCACATTTTATGTGCTACAGAAAACCAAAAAGCATAGATGCAAGATGTGACCTGTCATAAAGTAGTGGGGCTGATCCATAGGTATATGCATATTATAAAAAAAAAAAAGAACGTAAAACTAAGAACATGGGTTCTTTTAAGGTAGTTATTTTTATCTACACTGTGTTTCTACCACAGTGCCTACCATATTGCTATAGAGAATAGGCACTTAAAAGATGTTTATTTTGTGAATCTGTGTGTGTGAACACACACATTGTTCAAAACATTTTTGGAACTCTTGGAATTTTCTTAATGCTAGTTTATACACTTTGTGGTAGAACTCCAGTGGAATTTAGATCACCACTTAATAGTTATGTGATCTAGTCAAGTCTTAACTTCTCTGGGCTTTAGTTTCTTTATTTGTGACATGGGACCTGTACCCTATGTAGTTCAGGGCATTGTTGCTTAGAAGGATCATTTGAGGTGTCTGTAAATATGTTTGTTAGATTGTAAAATGTATCCAGATGTAAGGGGTTGATAGTATAATAAAAATATATTGTTACTTTTTTTAGCCATACCTTATTTTATACTCAAAATGGTATCAACCCATATCATGTCTCATTCACCAAATTTGGTTCCAAATGAGTTTTGATTAGTCCAAAAAAATCTAAGTCTCCAAAGTCTTAAAGCTATGAACGATTAAACCATCTTATCCACAGTACTTTCTCCTCCTCATTTTTTTTTTTTTGGTTGAGTTGTAAAAGATGATAATGTGTAGAAAATGTTCAGTGACAAGGCCCCGGTCACTGGTAAGACACAAAGGACAAATGCCTACCTCTCTTAATAATATTTAGAATTCTGTCACAAGCTCTGAAAAAAGTCCCAAAAAAGAATTTCCAAAAATGTTTTGAATAATAATGGTTGTCTAAAACGTTATCATTGGATAAATGTATGTAGCTTTCCAGGTGACTCCTTTTAAAAGACATGGAATAAGTATTCATATTTGTAACAAAAAAAAACCTGACCATAATGTATATTTATAATTAGCACAAATTGGTCATCTGTACGTAATTTTAGTCTCTTTTTTTTCTTTAGTGCCTTTCTGTTTTTCTCATTTGGCTGACCTGACATGGACATCCAAGCAAAAGACTCTTGCTAGACGTGGAAGCTTGGGGGGAGGCAAAAATTTTCACCTTGCCCATCTTGTAGGAGTGATTATGCCTGATTTTATCCAAAGTA